CACACACTTGCACAGAAGCCCTTTCCCCCAACAAGATCCACCTGGCATAAGATTTGATCCTGGTGAGATCAAAGTTAAACTGAGCTAAGCAGAAAATGCCCAGTTTTGTCTACTATCAATTTACTCAGTCTTCCCATCACACTCAGTGGTCCAGTGTCCACTACCTAAAAAACCAACCAAACAAACAAAATTACTCAAGAATTTCATGTACATCTCGTTTCCAGGCAGATAAAAGCAATTTTTCACAATTGTGGAGATGATCTAGCACAGATTCACAAGCAAAACCTGGGCATGGCAAGTGCCTTGATTCCTTGCTATAATGTTATATTCTTTCCATTACCTTCTACTTACATTTCCTTTTTACAACTGTCTTTTGCAAAGCTGCACCCACAAAATAAAAGACTTTTTAATTCATTTTCCTAAATCTGCAGCCTCCAAAATTTTCCCTTAAATAAACAAGGAGTAACTGAGATGTAGTGCTTCATTAAGCACATGCAGGTTTGCAGCTATCTCTCCAGTTGAAAACCAAAGAATTTCAACTGTTTATTCAACAAGCCATCCAGTTTACCCAGAACACCTGTTCTTCTTCAGCTTGAAAGCCAAACTCAGCTGCTCTCTTGCAGTTCTTTTCCTGTAATTCCTACATCAATTAACCTCTGTAAGGTCAATGACAAAATACAATTAAAAAGACTACTCAGAAAAGCCAAGACTTCTGACACGAAATAATAGATTATATACAAAATGCCACCTGAAAAAAAAATGCAACAAAAAAATCAGTTATTATAAACTCCAGCAAACAACTCTAAGAACAAAAGCACTGTTGGTGCAGAATTAACCTTTATAACAATAATAAACAATTATACGCTACAAAGAAGAACTGAACAATGATGAAAAGATTGTGAGGGACTTCCCCCTGGAAGGTTTAATTCATCCTCAACATAGTTTTATATCTTGCTCTGGTGAGCAGAGCAATCAGCTGTGTAAGGCCCAGTCGTAGTTACTCAGGGGCACTTGACACTAAACAATTAAAAAATTAACCCAAGGTTAGCCGCACCTCCTGCTTCTGATCCTTACAGGTTTTGTTACAGGACAGACTTTGTCAGACAATAGCAAGATTATTTTTTTAATTTGCTTACTAAGTATTGGTTAACAAACAATTGTTTTACAGAACCACCACATCTGATCGGGTCAGATGCTCATCGCCAGTCCAATACTCATCTCTAACAGTGTCTGGGGAAAGGTTTAAGAACAGGGCAATGATGGGACGACATCCCTTTAGGCTGTCCTCTGCCTCTGTGAGCCAGACGCCTTCCTCTCTGACCCACTTCTGACACCACACTTAACATCCCGCAGCAGAATGCCACAGGTTGTCCACATACTGTCTGAGGGGGAAAGAGAGCTCCTTTTCCTGTTTTGTTTGGAGATTGCTTTTTTAATATGCAATATTTTTTTTCTCCTATGTCTCCTTGCCCTTATATCAGGTGAGGAATAATGAGGAGTCATCCCATTCCACAGTCAGTGTGATACTGTAAAAAGAGCCAGAGGAGCAGGGTTTGTTTTGCCCCTCTGACACGCACAGGAAAAGTGTTATTTTTAGCAATATTCAACCCAAAGCCAAACTTTGCAAAACATATAGCGATACAGCAATAGTTCATGCCATTCACTGTGTGACATTAATTATTTAACCGTCATTCCACTGCCTCAAAGGCTCATTATATTCATTTTTTCTGAAGAACAAACCGGCAGGGAAGTCAATTCTTACAGCAAACCAGGGGCAGAAATTCGATTAGAAACCAGGGTCTTCCGCCCTGTTTCGAGGGCAGGTGTTCCCAAAACTGCTTCATCACCTGTATTACAGTAAGCACAGGCAATGTGTGGGCAGAGGGGCTTCCTCCCCTCCGAACCGCTTGAGGCTGCCTTGACACTCTTGCCTGCTGTCACACAGCAGCCGATGTCCTACACCAGAAATGTAGGTTTAGATAGTGTGAGCTAAGCAGGTGTTGAAGCTGTGAGCATTTCTAAAGTGTAGTCTCTGGGCTAAGCAGGGGCAGCATTATCCTGAGGTCAAGAGCTCTGGGCAACAGCAAGCCAACACTCCCAGCCCTGAATGGGCATTGCCGTCCACCACTGAGGGGTAAGGGAGGAAACTGTTTTCTCCCCAGATAGCTCAAAGGACACTGAGCAGTGCATTTTGGGAACGGCAGTGAAAAAAGTCGCATTGAAACGCTGGAGGTATTTAAAAGACATGTAGATGAGATGCTCAGGGGTGTGGCTTAGTGGTAGACCTGACATCGCTAAGTCAACAGTTGGACACAATGATCTCAAAGGTCTTCTCCAACCTCAATGATTCTAGGATTCTAAGACAGATGTCCATGGGGCCACAGCCTCCCAGCAGGTTGCCATTTCTTGCTGCTGGGGTAATTTACATGATCTGCCTTCAGTACAAGAAGCTGTTCACACAGAGCTAAATAGAAACACGAGGAAATACATTTTTAGGAGGAAATCACAGACTTCTTGGGCAGTACAAAGGGCAAAACAAAAGCAAATGGCATCTGGCTTTCCTTAGGACTTACCACCTCTGCAAATTAGAGACCAATCAGGCCCATCCCAAAAGGCTGACTGGTGTCATCTGATGCAGTCAGCTTCATTCAGGATATGCCTCTTCAGTTCCTCAGTGCAACATAAATTAAAAGAAACCCAGCAGCAAATTAAATATGTAAGGAGCCTTGGGAGAACGTTCCATCCATTCCAGAGTATGAAAAAGAAGGAGAAAGCAATATAAAACCACCAAAGCTGCCTGAGCCGGCTGAATCCCATGAGAAGACCAAAGAAAAACAAGTCCACGGTGACAGAGCAACCCACAGAGAAGGAGCAGGTCCTCTAAAGCACTGCACTGCTATGAGCTGGACTCTTGAATCTGAGGTGACCGATCGCCAAGTTCCTTGAGCTAAGTTTGGCCAGGTCATTCTCAGAGCGCTCCTCTTAACGGGGATCACCTACAAAATATTTCAAAGGACTGAGGAAAAAAGTGCTGAGCTTCACCTGCCCATTTTGGTTACACGCATTTGCAGGTCACTTCTTTTTTTCCTTTTCCTCCTCCTACTCACCTTCCGACAATGCTGAAACATCTCTGGTTTAATAGCAGAAGGCTGCTAAGTAACCCATCTCAGAATGTTTTTATTAATGAACAAAAAGTTTAGGAGAAAGACTTAACAATACTGTACGGTTTGAAAAAGTAAAATTAGAGAATAATTTTTGTGCTCCACTTGATGTAGAAACAGAATTACTCATCTTCAAATATAAGTTCTTCCAGCACAAAGCAAGTAAGTGCAGCACCACATGAGGTGTCTCCCCCATGGATATGATACCTTAATAAATTAGGGCATTCTCCACAGCTGAGGGAGATCAAATTCCGTTTCCTCACATGCCTAAGGAGATTCCAACCCTGTGGAGAGCAAGACAATCAGAGGATGTAGACCATTTTGGGCTGGGTGGCTCTTGCCTCCTCCCAAAACTGCTCAATTTTACCTAAAAAGCTAAAATCTTGTTTAAACAGGAAGGTGCAGGCAGGTGCTGCTGCCACAAGTCAGGGATCCCATCCTTGCGGGTCCTTCCTGCTGGACTCTGGAGCTTTGACAGAGAAGAACAACCATCCCTTCTGCCGTCAAGTTGCTCAGCAGCAGCAAACCCAATTATGTGCAATTACAGTAATGCTAAGAGAAAAACCTCCATAGTATATAAAACATTAAAAGGAAATAAGCCATATGAAGCAGGGCACCTGAAATGAGAGCTCAGGGTCACAGGCAAAATTCAAATGAGGTACCTCAAAAGGGAGAAAAATAGGAAAAAAAGAAAATCAATCAGTATGTTCTCCCATGGCATTTCATCCCTAATTGAAGAGTGAATTGTGTTTACCTACCTGCTCGTGTTCTCAATTGTCCCTTGGTAAATGAATCGTGATTATACTACATAAAATTCAGTATTTGGCTTTCTTATCATCTCATCGGACTGGCTTCAGTAGAAATTCCACCCTTTAAGACCCATACATAAATAAAAGACTGAAGCCTAAAAAATATCTGGTTATTGTACAGAAGAAGAAATGTTTAAATATAGGTTGTAGCCCTTCCAGTTTGTGCTTCAACAGCTGAAATGTGTGGAGGAAATGCTACCTCTCTTAAAGGGAAAAAAGAAAAAGCAGTTTCACATTCTGAGTAACAATGGTCGAGGGCATCATAGACTACTATTATCTTGAGTGCACCTAAATCGTAGTATGACACACGCAGATTTTACGCACAGAAGGATCTCAGGCTTTTTCATGATGCACAATTCCAGGGGCCTCAATTGCCTATTTTAAAGGTGTTCAGAAGTGATCAAAAATGCCGCTGAAGTGAAAAGCAGCACAGACTTTTCTCGGGTAAACACATTTGCTACTTGAATGTTGTCATCACTGAAGCAGAATGAGGAACTCCATGCAGCATTTATGAATGAAGAATAATTTATCAGAACAAGCTGGGAATCTGAGTGAACATGGACAAAATAACAAGAAACAGAATGGGAAAAAAAAAAAGGTTCTAAAAATTTCTGACAAACCACCAAGCTGCATGTTTTAAGAGACAAAAACCCAAACATACTGTTCATCCCCACTACTTGAACACAACGGACAAGATTCTTGGGTTCCTGTCATCATCTTGTTGCAAAATAGCTTTAGAGCTGGAACGGCAATAGTTGGGTAGAGCATCTCTACAGAGCAGAGTAACTGCTGGGTGCTATGGCTGCTACCTCAGCAGCAATTCCAGCCAGTGGGTGGGATATCATGGGACATCTACATCTTCTGCTGCTGGTTGGTCTCTTGAGCAAGTATACACTAGAAGACAGAGGCCTGCAGCTGTGCAAATGGTGTTTGTGACATTACTGGTCCTGGGGGTTGGAAAAGCACAGGCTTAGTTTAAGACCATCATTCACTGAACGCTCAGAAACAACAGAGGAGGCCAAGCAGGTGGTAGAAACATGACCTTTCTCCATGAGGTCAAATAGCTTTATTGTGATTAAGCACTACAATACAGTATATATCCATAAAAAACTCTATAGTGTATATAAATTATTCCTTCCATTCAGTATTTATTTTTCATTTTCGTTTTTTCTTCATTTCCGTTACAGCTTTGGTACAATGTGATTTTTGTTATATTTTTAAATACTTTTAGCTTCACAAACTCAACACAAAGTACAAAACTAATCCGAATTGGGGATATTACAATCTACACAGTGGTGTTCAGTGGTAGGAAAAAATCTTACCTCAATGAATTCATGTCACTAGCTAAGCTATAAAGGCATACCTAGCAGACATGACAGAAATATGCACCATTAACCAGCAAACATTATTTTTTTTCAAAAGTTATTTTATTTTCATTTTACTTTTTTTACAGATTTTTCCAGCAGCAAATCACTTGAGCATAGTCAGTACGTATGTCCTCAACTGATCATTCCCCGTTGCGCTCCTCTTCTGTTTGAAGGCCATAAGTTATTTGTCAAATAATGCACCTCTATCCTCGCATATCCGCGCTAAAGCCGCGGTGTCAGTACTTGACCTGCCACCCCGCGCTGTTCATGCTCGCACAGTTTGTCCTGCAGCTGGCAGAAATAACCGGGACGTTATTGGAGGGGCAGTGTGGAGGGATCAACCGTAGGTTGTTCTGTGGGGCAGGAGGTATGACATTACAGTAGACAGGCATTCCAGTGGCTGTAAGTGTTCCTTGACCTGATTGATTAGGTAGCATGATCGGTTGTTGATATGATTGTTGCGGCAAACCTTGAGAACCCTGGGTCATTGGCACCTAGGTAAGGAAAAAAAAAGCAAAAAAAAGCAATTACCAAACAAATTAAAGTAAGTCCTGAGTATCTTCCCTCTAGCTGAATTTGAATATACAATGGGTTCTGCCAAAATATGTCATTCTCTGCTGCTCAGAACTGTTCTCATCCCTGTGGAATCCCTCTGCTCCTGGGTTTAGTAAGTAGCTCTACCATGCTCTGGCTGAATATAAATTTCTGGGATCAGTGCAAACAGAAGACTCAACTCTGGTATATATCTAGGCCATCTGAAAGGCCTAAACATTTAAATTTGATCATTAACCTTTAAAATACATTTTCAATATAGCAATTCTGAAGATGTAAGGGGAAAAAATTTACCCACAAGCAATTCCCCCATTTCCATCCGGGTTGCTGCTGCTCTGTTTTCAGAGAAGCTGAGGGAAAAGGTGAATTGCTCAATCAGTGCAATCTATTAAAATGAGTTAGATGTCATTTAGTTTCTCAACTTTCCAGAGGGACCAGCAGGAAACATAAGCACAGGTCCCCTCTTGCAGGCTCCTGACATATCTCACAGAAACGAGGTATAAAGTTGGGGAAATAAATCTGGGTAACTTATGACTTGATAAAAAATCAAGTCACTGCCTTTCTTCTCCCCAAAAAGCTGATGAACAACAATAAAAAAAAAAAAATAAAAATCTATCTGGCTACAGCTTGTTACAGAAGGCATGATGAGATCCTTGGCAGGAGTCTCCATAGATGAGTAATTTTTAACTGGATCAGGCAAAGCCCTCAACTTCATTACAGGAAACAATATTGTACCAGCAAAAAAAATGAAGAATGAACAATGTTCTGTCCTTTACTTTTTTTAATTCATTTTCTTCACAGGAAGAAGCATAATTCTTTCACCCTTTCCAGCATTTCACCAGCACTGCAGGCTGTAATAAACAGTTAAGTATTGTCAATTCAGAATGGAAATCAGGAGTACGAAGAATACATAAACAGGAAGCAAAGAAACCAATTTGATTTAGAAAGCGTATTTATCAGGATGCCTGCCACACTCTGTCCTAATGAAGTCATAAAGACCATCCTGCACTAAAAAACAAACAAACAAACCCCCTAATTAAATTAAGTCTTCCTTTACAGCTCTCCCAAGTACCTGATAAGACGACATGGCTGGATACTGCACCATCATGCCTTGGACCTGATTTCCCTGTTGATTATTCATCAGGTTCTGGCTTTGGGGAGGCTGCTGCATTCCCATGAGACCCTGGAACCCCTGCTGCTGGTTGGGCAGGACCGGCTGGTAACCTGGAAGAAGAAAGAAAACCTCAACTGCTTCCTTTGCTTGCAAAAACCAAAGCTGTTCCAAGGAATGGCAAATGACCTCATCGTTATCTCCCCATGTTTGTTGATCTGTTTCTAGAGAACTGTTACTGGAAATGAATATTGAAGGGGAATAAGCTGTGAGTCGGCAGACACAGCAGCTACCAGCTTCTGGCTACTTCCTCAGAGGCAAAACTCCCACCAGCTTTGAGGACACCAGTATTTGGCCTTCGTGGTCTCATCTGGCAGTTTTCTTTCAGGTCACGTTTCTCATTTTACCCTTTCACCTTTTGTTGTCATGCAGCTCCCTAGCACGATGCAAACAGAGGTGGCTTTATTTAATCAAGAACATCCGCATACACTCTGGCTCCTAATTGCAAGGCTTTTATACAATTAGAGCACATTAAAGGTCATATTCCACCCTACTAGTTTCATCTTTGGCAAAAAAGAGGAAAATCATAAACGTGGGAGTGTCTGGTCCTCCCCACTGCTTGGTGGGAACTCTGCTCACACCCGAGCTGCTGCTTCTGTTTCAACCTGCGACGGGATGGATCTGTGCGCAAAGACACCACAACACTGCAGGTTTCTCTCTGGGATGGCTCCGCTAGGACTAACTGAGAAATAGGCAGCTCTAAATAATTTGTCCTTAAGACATCCTGTGGCCTTTAGCACTTGTATTCTTTAACGCGCAGTTATGCAGTGCGCTATGAACTCTGCAGTGATGTTCTCAGAATAAGCATATTTCAGGCCAAGAAGAATTATCAGAAGCAGCAACGCTGTGTTATTTTGATATGAAAAAAATGTGTGTCACGTCTGCTCAATTTATATTCATGAACACAGTACACGGTTCAATATACTTCATGAATTGGAAATCATCACCTGGGTATTTCTTCATTATGTAAGAAAAATAAAAGTTATGAATGTCTCTGTTTCTGCTGGTCTATTGTCAGCTGGTAGCTTTCCTTCAAAATCTTTTCTGATGCCAGAGAAATGTTGAGTATCTCTGATCAACTTTTTGGCATTAAAGATGCCTTTCCACAGATATGAGATTAATGTCTCCAGTCAACTGAGCAAAATAATAATAATAAAAAAATTAACTCCGTGAATGATTAACTCGGCTAGGATATGGCATCAAACATCTCCCAAATGCACCAGATTATTATACATTCAAATTTGCTCTTTTCCTACATGCAAACACAGTGTCAACATGTTTTTTTAGTCACAAAAATTACCAACATCAGAAGTGCTCTAACCAAGCTCACAGAAGGCTTATACAGCAATAACAAAATTGCAAGCCCTCTTCTGCTGCTGTATACCAGTTGCTGGGGGAGTTGGAAGAAAGGACAGAAATAAAAAATTGAGCACCGCTATTCTGCCATTTGCAAAACTGGAAGTTTAAGCAGAGGGGAGTCAATTGACAGTGGAAGCAGCAACAGATTAATTCACTTCATGTCACCTGCGGTTGTCAAAGTAACTCCCAAATGTTGTAATGAACGACAAATTGATGGTGGACCAGGGATCAAGTGATGCTAAGCCGGTGAATGCAAACAAACGTCGGATCTGGACTCACTGGCACAGGGTGGTGGACTGGTCCTCTGCAGAGACAGACACCACCAAGGTCAAGTGAAAAGAAGCCCTTTTGTTCTCTCTTAGTAAATATAATTACATTACCATTACTTCAGTCAGACGGCTGTAGGTTTGAACATACGGCATATACATGGCACAACTGCTCCACATTTCAGGTGCAGGAATAAAAAAAGGGGACAGGTCAAGAGCTGAGGATGTCAGACCTTGCTGAAGAACTCCAGTACAGCATTTGGTCAAAACCCAGCATCCTCTTTGAGGGTCTGCAGCTCAGGTGAAGCCACTTCACCATACTTGAGAGCAAAGCCTGACCCTTTACTACATTAAATATATGAGGAAAGATGTGAGCTCATCTACCCCATTGGACATAAAAACCTGACAAGGTACCAAAACACATTCCAATGGTGCAGAGGGGGTACAGGTGAATTAGTTTACCTAAAGCAAGATTTATAAGCCAGAGGAAAATGCTGTGATTAAACAAAGCACCCCGATTCCGTTCTGCTTGTCGACTTGTGTTTCAGCACAAACACAAGGGGAAGGAAATGGAACTCTGAGGGGATACCCATTTGAACAAGAAGTTGTTTATATCAGAAACCAGCTGCTCTGCATTTCCTACCTCTGCAGCCCAAATTCTGCAACTCTGACTCTCCACACCACGCAACATTGGAAACAGATCCTTTGGTGTTTCTGGGTGTTGGTGCCTTTGTATATTTGTGCACTGGCAAGGAAAGGAAGAGATGGGAGAACCCAAGACTCTGCAAAAATGATAGCCTTAACAGATCAACCTTTCAGCAATGTTCACGAAATAATATTGTTTCAGCAAATCCTTTTTTTAAATTTTTTTTTTATTATTATTTTTAGGGTACTATCAGAGATTGCTATTCCGAGAATGACTTATTTTGTACACACACAGCAGTTTCAGTCCTCAGCTCTGCTGTGCTTTTGATGGGCTATCTGGTTTCTGTGCAACGAAAACAACATAGTGTTCACAAAAACCTTGGGACCCGACTGTGGTGCATGAAAAGCTGTGCCTTCAGGCGCAGGAATGGATGGTTTGGAGCTACACAGGTGTCCGGAAGCAGCACCACGCTTTCTGCCGCAAGAGTTTTCCTCATACTCGCTCTTTTGCTCATTAGCTTTCACACTACATAAAGTGTAATCCTTAAAAGTCTCTTTACTGTCCCCTGAGAACATACATACGTGGGTTATTTTCTAATGGCAGCACACATCAGATGAACCATCTTATTACTGCAAGCTCCAGGGCCTCTTTACTGCAATTATATCATCCTGCTCTATGGTATCTCTGCTACAAAGGAGGATTTTTTAAATCAGGGCAAACATGAGAGACATTGTTAAACAACCAGAGGAACAAATCGTGCATGGAATTTCAATGAATGCCTCAGAGGAAAAATGAGCCTTGGATTGCAGTCGAAATGGAAGAGGCCGTCATACTATCAAGGTAATTCTCTGAACCTTCGCAGCGCGTATCACCACGCCGACAGTCAGCTAACTTAAACATCCCAGGGGTATAAAGACTGTAGGAAAGATTCACAAATGTTTTAATTCCTTAATGAGGCTACGGAGCTCAAAAGACAAAACACAGTGGTCTTACACCTCTGCCCGTAACGTCACCCAGGGCTGTAATTAAAGCATGTTTGGTGCTCTGCTTTCCTTGGCGTACATCCTTCAGGAACGGTGCATCCATATTTGGAGGGTTTGTTTCACCGCTCTATCTGCTCAGTTTATTCAAAAGATGAAGACGTATCTGCTGGTGGTAGATAGTTCTTTAACAGAACAGAAAACGGTATAATAAAAATACACGTTCAGAAGATAAACCTAGAACTCTTCAGACTAGAAACAAAATTCAAAGTTTCAACCAGATCCTGTAACAACAAAGGGGTAATTTACTCAGAAAGGAAGAACGTTCACTATCACCTGAAACCTCTAAAATAAGGATGGGCAGCTTGCTACAAGATATTCATTAGTTTAATAAGTTCCGGGAATACAGATATGATAAGAGTGTCCCCTGCGTCCAGCGTTATTCAGAGCATTAAATGACAGGTTCCAAACCACAAAATACTTATGAAGACATAAGCTGGTTAGCTCTTATTACTCTTCCTGCCTTCCAAGGAAAAGGACTAATCTTCTGCATTGGAGACATGATCCTTGTTCCAGCGTCTCCTCCCTCTGATCACACCCTGGCAATGCCACCCAACTCGTTCCACAGGTGGAGAGTTCACTTGTGAATAATGGTCAAAGAGCTATTTCTGGCCTATTTTAGTTTATTTTGCCCTGGCTGGAGCAGCACTCAGTAGTTTTTGTAGGCTGAAGCATAAGGATTAGTATCTATTCTCACAAAGGGAAGCATAGGTTTCCCTTTTTTATAATGTTATGGGTGCAGTATTAAAGTGGCTGGATGTAGCTTCTGCTCTGCAATCACAGAAACTTACAGTGCCCATGACAAATTACTCATCAGAGCAGAAAAAGATGTCATTTGAAAACTGCAATTCAGGCATGCACCCCTCCTTACCCTGCGTGAGATGCTTAAGTACTGGAGTGCAACCCAAAGTTTCATCTTCTGCATAAATATCACCACTACTAGCCACAAAATCTCCCCATATACATTAGATTTGGGTGGCTGCTGAGGAAATAATTTTTTGGGTTTTTTATTTCATTATGCAGTTGATCATTTTTTGACCAGTTTCACCACTGAAAGTCTCATGGAAAATGTAAAATTAAGCTATTCATTTAAGCCACTTTTGATTTTAGCCTCACACCAAAGTGTCTGCAATTTGGAAGACTCCCACAGAAGACACATTGATTGATGTCTCCTGGCTGGTGTGTCACTTTCTGTGTGAGTGTGATGATTTAAAACTGCAACTTGTACAGCTGGAATTCAAATCCTTTCATAAATATTTTTTTTAGTTTAATTTCGGATCTAAAATCCAAGGCATGCTGCAAACCTAATCTGCCGTGGTTGACCAATCCATTCCTACTGTGTCTGCTTTCTCTCTGCAATAAAAATGTCTTGACCCAGTAAGAAATTCAGGCTTTGTGTTCCACTTCAGGACATCACAGATAATTTATGGGTGTGAACTGGATACCCTGTGAACTAGAAGGACAAATATGTTGTAGCTTAAAGCTAAAATCCATCCCTTTCCCTTCAAAATATAAGAACATGCAATTATAATATTTGATTTTCAAATTTTGTATGTGTTTGGCTTCTTTCATTTTTTCATGTAATAGCACATCCTGCTTTGGCAGCACAGCTCGCAGGGCAAAGCACAGGGCATTACACCGGTTTTGTTTTCAGAATTTGAAACTAACGACATCAATCTTTTCCAGTTGTGAGAGATCAGAATGTTTTTTAGCTAATGGCCCTCCAGCTACATTCACTGAGA